GGCCCCGCCCCTCCCTGAGCCTGGTTCTGCTGGAGGTTTCTTCCTGTTAAAAGGGAGTTTTTCCTTCCCACTGTTGCCAAAGTGCTGCTCATAGGGGGTCATATGATTGTTGAGTTTTTCTCTGTATCTATGAAGCGCCTTGAGGCGACTTTTGTTGTGATTTGGCGCTATATAAATAAAATTGAACTGAATAGAAATGAGTTTCTTGTCATGTTGGAAGTTTGAAATAACTCTCTGGGTTCTCTTTGCTTGCCCTCCTCTCTCCTCCTTTGTGACTATGCAATTTAATTATAGTTACCGCCAATTTAAGAGCAGGTACGCTAACATAAACATTACTATACAGATATTAACATAAACAAAGAATCAATGTGACGCACTAACTGTAAAGCTTACGTCTCACCTCCAGGGGGCAGTGCTTTGGACATTCTGCATTTAACTTTATTTTCTGCAAAATGCTTTCACATTTTTTTAAATCTCAGTTTCCATTTTCTTCTGTCCTCCTGTTTTGCTGTTCGCGATGATGATCTGATATCCTCGTGCTGGCGTTGTTCCCACATCATCATAATAAATGTTGTTCCAGGTTCAACATTGCAAGTGACCAGTCACATTGTTGTGACGTCATACTTCTGCAAGCCAAGCGATTCATTCATTTATGAAATTTGAATTTTGCCAGGACAACATGTATAATGCTTACAGTTTGTTTTTTAAGACTTTTTTTCCGAAGTCGCAAAAGTATGACGTCACAACAATGTGACTGGTCACTTGCAATGTTGAACCTGGAACAACATTTATTAAGATGATGTGGGAACAACACCAGCACGAGGACATCAGATTGTGCCTTCTTCTTGGTGCAGTCTTGGCAGACAATATAAGCGCTACTCCCCCAATAGCTTCCTGTAGTGTACTGCAGTTACAAAAATACATTTACGTGGTATTAGTCTAGTGTTGACAATAAAATTCACATTTTTGTAGTCGACATCATCGATTATGATCATTGCAGACCTACTGTAGACTACTATACTGTTTTGCTCCTCTGGCACACAAACTGAAATCAGCTGACTGTAGAACTCATAAGCAGAATTGATAGGCAAGCTGAATAACAATTGAAAGGACCTGAACTACCAGGAACTGCTTCTGTAGAAAACTGGTTCTCAGTTCCCATCCCTACTAATGATGCTAAAATAACAATGAAATCATTAAAACAATAACGACTGCTTTAGATTCTCAGACGTCCTGGAAACTGAAACCAACTCACCTTGACAGCAAGCCTGCCGGCTACATAGATGAGCACAGCGATTCTCTCCCAGGTGATGCCGTCCTCAAACACTTTGTCTGCCACTCGTCTGAAGTTCTCTGACTTGGAGCCAGAGCCAGAAGCCACACCATCTATCACACTGCAACAGAACAGCCACAATGTAAGCAACCTGTTTTTGAAAACACGTAGAGCCCTTAAAATTGCATTCTGACTGACAGACGTTTCTAGTTTATGACAGAGACATGAAACACTTGTCTGCACACCACAACTTCCATCAGCAGGACGTCTACTTAATCAAACTGTACACTGTAAATGCTTATTGAGCCAACATTAATCTGCTGCATTCATCCAATATACTACAGTGTTATTGTACTAAAGCAGTCTCCTAACATGAGATCTGAGGATGAAAAGCTCACTCTTGAAACTCTTGGTCATGCTGCACTCTGTCACCGACGATGCGTATCATTTTGCTCAGCTGCTTGACCAGCTTCTCCTCCTGCTCAGTCTTCCCCTCCACAGTCAGTGGAGTGAGAGGCGGGACATCCTCTGAGGGCACATCCTTCAGCTCTTCCTCTATGACTCTGTTAGAAAACACACAATTAGGTACCCGTGACCCTAACTCTGAGCTTAACATGGCTTCTTAGACTAATATTAGCTAAACAGTGTTCCCACTCAGAATCATTAAGGTTTTTGACACTTTACATTACACATTTACTGTGGAAAGAAACGGTTAAAGTGCATTTTGTAAGGACAACGCTGGCAAGCACAACAAAACAAAAACACGTGACATCCCTTTCCTATTGGTGGAAAAATGTACCATGTTAACCAATCAAAAAATAATATGGCAACTTGTGACATTTGATTGTTTAGGAAGAGGAGAAAGTTTATAAGTGATGGTGGCGAGGGAGAGCAAGCGAGCGATATCCATAGCAAGTTTTGAGACGAGAGAGATTTGTGGTGTTTAGTGTGTTTAGAGTGGGTTGTGCTGTCTTGTGTAGTTAGTGTGTACTGTAGTTATTGTTTTGTGTGTCAAAACGATGAGGGCACTGCTGAATGTCACAGCTGCTGCCAAAAAGTCACCAAAGGCAGACGGTGATGTGAACGCTGTCTGCAGGTGGAACACAGGTTAGGGCTGCTCAATTAATCGAATTTTAATCTCGATTACGATCTGGGCTTTCAACGATCATTAAAAATGACTGAGCCGATTATTAGCCCCTCCCTCAAGCTTTACTCTCACGCTGCTCCATGTGGCAAATCGAGTGCACCTCTCTGCATTTCGAACACGTGTCACAACAACTAAGAGGACCCGAGGGAAGCTCGGAAAGCTCAACAGAAGTTATTTGGAGAGTGACGGCTGTTGGTTGAACAGAGGTAAAAAAACTTCAGTGGTGTGGAAACATTATGGGTTCAGTCAGACGTGGATCAAGTAGACACAGTGTGTAAACTTTGCTACAGTGTAGCTGCACCACAGAGCAACACTGCAAAGTTCACTAAACATAGACGTTTACATTTTTCATTTATTTTTATATTGCAAACATTTGCACTGTTATCAGTATTTGCACTGTTTTATATTATTTTTTGACAATCTTTAAAGTCATTATTCAACACATTGTTATTGTTAAATAAATATCGTCAAATAATCGAGATCTCAATGTCAGTGAAAATAATCGTGGTTATCATTTTTGCCATAATCGAGCAGCCCTAACACAGGGGGAGTGTTTTTCAGGCCTGCTGGTTTTAGGCCTGTGATATGGAAACTAGGAACACTCCTCTGACGCATGCCTCCCCCAGTCCACTAAATATCAAATCCCCCCCCCCACCACGATGTCCATAATCTGCCTTACTAGAAATACTGAGATCAATTTCAGTAAAGGTTACATTTGTATCCTCTAAGCAGAATGCCAAAGACTGCGTGGTCAAATGTTTGTTCACGTCAGACGTATTTCCCCTCTTTGTCTTCAGTGTTAGCGTCATTACTAAAAAAACATTATTACACATCTTACGGAGAACTTAAAAGGAATGCAGTAAGTTACACCCATGAGAAAGAAATTCATTATACTACTTGTTACATTGTTTTCATGTTACTCTGAAGCACACCGTCTCATAATTAAAGATTAACAATATAAACGTGCAGGCCCGTAGGTTTATATCAGCAGCACAAATCACTCTCCTAATGAGGACACATGTGATCTTTCTCTTAGTATTTAGGTATGAACACAAAGCAACAACACAAATCAGCTGATGTGATTAGCTGTGGTATAATGGCATGTGGTAACCTGTGATGCTGTGAACTGTTTGGATGTACTTGGGAAAAGAGATTATTTTATTGGACAAAATACAGTGATTGCATCGCTAACTGCACAGCTACTGTACGGCATCTCATCTCCATCAGCAATGAGCGCTACCACGGTGTCGTCAGCATATTTGACTTCGTATCAAGTACTTTTTTAGTACCTGGTTCCCGGGTGAGCAGGTACTAAAAAAGTCATCAGTCAATGCGTCTCGTTCACCAAAATCAAAGCCGCCATTTTTGAAACCTGGAAACGAGAGAAATGGCTGAAAAGCAACACCGTGATCCCCGAGTCTGATGAACGCCACAGACCAAGCAGCAGATATATTCTTGCCTTGAAATCCACCTTTGTTGTAGCGCCTGCGTCGCATGTTATTTACGTATTGCTATGACGACAGCCACGCACATTACAGTGCTCTTCTGTAATGGAAAACCAGTCGATCTGAGTAGATCAGCGGGCCCCAACATTTTTTGCTCCACAGACGGTTTAATGTCAGACAATATCTTCACGGACCGGCCTTTAAGGCGTGGCAGATGAATACAACAAAATAAAATGATCCGAGACAAAAACTGTGGTACTTTGTAAATATAATAATAAACTAATTCACTGTGTAATTGTGTACATTTTTTAGCAGCTTCCTCCTGAAGTGCGCCAACAACACTGAGAGTAACGTCCTCCTCACTGCCCCTTAATGCTCTCTGGTCGCTATGGTAACGTGTACATATTTCTTTCAAAATAAGACACACAACTACAACACGGGAAAGACCCAGGGGAACAGAGTTAACGATAAAACCCCTGACAACCATAAATTTCACACCCGAGCCTCAACTCTCGCGGCCCGGCACCAAACGACTCATGGAGTAGTACCGGTCCGTGCCCCGGGGGTTGGGGACCGCTGGAGTAGCTACTAAAAGGGGATATTGATCGAGGAGCAGGTAGCAAGAGGAGTCTGAAGGCAGTTTGATGGTAAGGATGTCTGGGGTTATGATGTTCAATGCTGAGCTGTAGTCCACAAAGAGCATCCTGACGTAGCTCTTCCTGTTCTGCAGATGGCTCAGTGCTCTGTGAAGGTTGCTAGTGATGGCATTCGCCGCAGATCTGTCCCACTAGTAGGACACATGTTGGTGAAATTTGAAGAGTACAGATTTCACACATGCCTTATTAAAGTCCCCAGCAGCAATATGGATGCCCTCACAAGGTAGCTAGAAAAGGGCCTACACTGAATGGACATGGGCTCTAAGTCTTGTGAGTAGTGACCTTTTATAAATGAAGGTTTACTTTAAGGTTTTGCATAATCAGTGTTCATTACTAATGCTGTACTGCCCTCTACAGGATTAACATCAATTATTTTTTACTTAAATATTCAGCTGGGATAAGTGATGGTGGAAAGACTGTTACTGTAGTTACAGGAACGACAAAGCAGGTAAATATTAGAAAATAACATGTACTTAATTTTGTATATGCTATTAGACAGATTTACTAAGTGAGGAAAATTACTGTGAAGTCACAATCACGGGGTGATCTACTGACAGCGCGCTAATTTATATACAAAGATGCAGCCAGTTGTCAGTAAGAAGCAACATTCTGAGAGCGCACCGATTATATATAAACCAGTATAGATGTGAAAGTGTTTCATGAAACAGCGAGGCAATTCAGATTCAAGCCAGGAGGATGAATGAAAAGCATGCGTTTGATATAAGAAACAGCCCTGGAGCAAGGATTTTAGGATTAGGACTCAGATGCAGGAAAACAGCATAGGATCAATGTTCCCAGATGTATCTAATGCAGGAAAATGTCCAAACACCGGGGAGGTTGCAGCTGGCATGTCAGCCTCATCAACATAAATTCGTTCTGTAGTCAAACCCTGGTGTTAGTTCACACAAAGAGTGTTTTTAAAGCTATTTCAAAGGATGTTCTAAACAATAAATAACTGATTCCAGGATAGTATATATGTCAGGATGGAATACGAAGTGCTGTACAATTACTACAAATGATCCCAAAAGTTTGATTCTGTTCATCTGGACGTAGCGAATGAAGAATGGCCCGGGAAACCTGCAGACTGAAGAAGTCACCTGGAAGAGCGACGAAACATTTGTCCCACTGAAAACGTCCAGATGAACAGAATCAACCTTTTGGGATTTACGTACCTGGATGATTGAGTGTGCATCAACACATACTAAAAATTAGATTACATATGTTAAGAGATTTGACATCTATACTTAGCCTGTAGAAAGAGGTCAATAATTCTATGACACAGTTCTTTTTATGACTGGTGCGGTTTACGTGCTTACAGTTCCTGTAAGATGAAAATGAAACTTAATTCAGATAAGGACTTGAACAGGGTTGGGTTAAAACGTATTATTAAGTGTTATAATTAATACAATATCTTCACATGAGCTACCACAGGAATAAATATGTTTAAAAATGTCTAATGACTGAATAATTCTATCAAGAGTTTTAATGATGAAAGACATAATCTTACTGCTTTCCTTAGTTACTCAGAAAAGCAGTGTAACCCCAAAGTCGTAATCACTTTTACTGTGCTCCAACAACTTAAGGAACCAAAAAAGATTTATTGTAAAACATCACTGAGCACTTTGTGGTAGGTGGTTAAAGAGCAAAGCGACTGGGAAAGAGCAACGATGAAAGCATAGAACGGAACTCACTCTTTGATGAGGGCTTCCCCGATTCTCTCATCTGTGGAAGATAAAAACAGAACAGGTCCGTGTTGTCCGTAGTTACACTGCAGGCGCAGTAAAAAGCAACAATGACACAAGAAGTCATCTGCCGGTAAGGCGAGCTTACCTGACATGCCGTTCACCGCGCACGCCATGGTTTGAAGAGAAGTTTAATGAATGCGAAACTTCCTGAACAAACTCTGCCGCTTCTTCCTCTGAAGTTACATGAACCTTTGTCTGATTAATTAAACTAAGCAAAACACAACAACAAAAAACACCTAAACAAAAACAATTTACCACCAGCACGCGTCAGCTGGAGTTTCGTCGAAGTTAGAAAAGCCGACAACTGTAACAAACCCACAGCCCAATCCCGATCAGTCAACGTCATCAGTCGCCGCCCGAGTACGCTCAGAATCCCCGGATGTGTCGTTGTTTTTGTGCCACTATTCTGAGCGCACGTAAAAAAAGTTTGCAGGTGCAAGTGTTGCATTTTCAGGAGAAATTTATTTTGAGCGAAGAAAAGCATTCCTGCGTGCAAACTGTATTTCAGTGTTTGCTATTATCCACACACCACACAGCAGCCCCTCTCCTCACTTTTTGCACTTGCGCTTCCTCGCGATGTGTCGCTCGCGCTCTCAACATTTCTGTACACCGTTATATTTGTGCCACAAAACCAGCCAATCACAGACTTGGATGCAAAAATATCCCATTGGTTGTTTTGGTCTCCAATCAGCTCGAAATGACGAAAACAGGGACATAAATCTGGTGCTATAAAATGCACTCTAGCCCCTTTCTCTAACTCTTCAGGCTTGACCTGAGGCCAGTAGGTGGTTGCCATGGTAATGAGAGTGTTGCCTTCAAAAGTGTCATCTTTATACAAGCAGCTGTCTGTCTCTGGACATGTCCCTGAAAAGGATAAACAGAAAAGAATGGATGGATGGATTTATTATCCCTCTCAAATATGAATCAAACAAAAGGTGAGTAAGAATGATTATATATATGTTTTTCTTGTGGTGGTTACCTGTGCAGATGTATACCCAGAGTGAACTCAGGTCACCTCACACAATCCAACCTGAGGGAAAAAAAGTTCAATCAAAGATGAATTAATTAAATGTGAATTCAAAAAAGCGCCCCCCTGACAGCCAAACCCATCTGTTCTCTGATTGGATTGTTACATTTGTGATTGACATGACATTGACCAATCAGATGAAAGGAAGAAAAATAGGGTCAAAATTCCTACTTGTAACTTGCAGGGTTTTTTTTTTTTTTTGCTAAGTCCACACACAAATATTTTTTACGCACACAAATTCTTTTTGCACATACGAAACTGATTTACAAGTACAAAATATTTATGACCACATTTTGAGCCCATACTTTAGCCCACTTACAATGAAAACTTAAATAAATCTTGTTCTTGTCCTGTGCAGTATGTTAACACAAGGAAAAATAAGGAAAAATAACTTGAACTCCAATTTTGAAAACACGACTTTCTGTTTTCTTTTTTTTAATAAAGCTCTGACTTGTATGATGAGTCTGTGGTCTGGGAGAGAGTCTGTAACTCTGTCTGCAAATACAGTAAATAATGACCAAAGCTGGGCAGTTAATTATATAGTTACTTCTTCAAAAAAGTAACTGAGTTATGCAAACAAAGTTTTTTGCAGCTGTTTACCTAAAAATGCAGCCAAGGCGTTTTTTAAACAAACATTTCAAACTATTTACAGAACAATCAGCTGTTCTGCATCAAATCTGATGCCACACAAATTATTTGTGCCGCTCCAAAAAATAATTCCTGTCCACTATGAGATGAAGGAGAACAACAGCCTGATACCTGCAGGCCTGACAGCAGCAGATGT